CTATATATATATGTATAGCTCTTATGGGTTCCCTTTGCGGAAAAATTCTGGGCAGCTTTTGCAAATTGCTGAACACTTACAGGTGAAACCAACGTTTATAGATACTTTATTTTAAGCACACCAAAAGCAGTCTGATGCCAAGCACTCAGAAAATGCCCAAGCTTTGTAATTATCTGTGTCAAACTGCTTTTTGCAGGCTGAGGTAGTCTAAGAGGTAGTCTAAGGTTCAAAACAAGTTCCTCTAGTACTATGGCAAAATGAGCTCTTTTTCGTTATTCATATTTTTAGGTGGTTTTTAAGCTGTTGTAGAAGCATGCTTTAAAATAAAGTTACATTGAATGATTGTGCTGTGCAGGATCACTGAGTAAAGTTACACCTTATGAGTCTCACCTGGGAGAAAGTCTCTTGAGAAAGATCATAGGGAACAAGAAAGGAGTGACCGGTGGCGTGAAAGTGGTAACCTGAGAAGAAGGCATAGTGAGAGGGTAGTATGGGAAGAAGACCCTTAAGTGTGGCTGGTAAACTTTGGTTTGTTGCACTATTAGAAAGACAAATTTACCCAGGGAAGGCAAGTGAAACGTTGTAAAACCTCCACAGAATAACATATTCAATACGATGTTCAGATTCACTAGACAAATTCATTCCATATTCATTCTACTGCTGTAGATAGCTGTTGGACTTCCTGTAAGAGTCAGTGTTTCAGTTCCCCTTCAGTTCAGGTTCAGCATTCATCTGAATTGTTCCATTTGCTAATTGTCCTATACCTGTGCTTGATTTACCAGAATGCAAATAACCAAGGAAGAAGAATACGTTATTCCCCACAGCACTCACTTCTAGCCTGTCTCATGAGCTGAGTCAAATATTACTAGCGATGGGGCCCTTACGAACAGTCATATTTTGGTAGTTACCCACCTGCTATTAATTAAGCAGCATACGGTATGTCAGTCTTTGAGCTCTGCTCAGTATAAGCTTTCTTTGAGACTCCCACTGTGGAGAGAAGTCTTGATGAGGCTTTTGGAAAGGATCTACCTAAAATGAAATAGAAAGTGAGCCCTGCCTAGGGAGAAGAGGTAAGATTCTTGCTTTGATATATTGCTCATGTGTGTTATTTCTAGTTTAACTACAAGAGAGAGGGTGTTAAGAAATTAGATTCTAACCAGACACGTTACTTTCCTCTCACTTGCTTTTAAAATTAATGCTTGGCCACAGGCCCTTCACCACAAAAGTAGTCAGACTGTGTTTTCTCTGCTAAGTACAAGTGCGAAGGTATTGAGATACCTTACCAAATGGTGTTGGGATAATCAGCATGTGAGTTATTACCTAGCAGGCACTATTTAATATATTTTTATATAAAGTCCTGGTTATTATCATGCTTCTTCTGGCTTGAAATTTTATTAAAAGGAAAATTCTTTAGAAATGACTGATCTACAATAAAGATGAGGAAAGGGTAAATTGGGATGTTTAAAAAAATGAGCATCGTATGTCACACGAGCATATATTAATGCTCCTTGGAAAATCAAGCTCGTGAAAACTTATTTCAGGTGATTAAAGCATAGAAGAAATGATTAAAATTAAATGGAGAAGGAAATAAGATTACATAAGCAGTAGCTGAGGCAAGATGAAATACAGATGAAACCAGGGGAAGGAAGTCTGGGCACACTTCACAGGTACCCTTTCTGTTATTGACTGAGCAAGGTAGCAGTTTATTTTGTAGCTTGAGATAACTTGTTTTCACAGGACTAGTATGTGGCGCAAGTAAACTTAGCTTATTGCTGTGGATAAGATGCTCTCTTCTCTGTGGAAAAATTGGACAGCTTTTCCAGATAAGGGTTAAGTGATTTTTTTTTTCCTTTGTACATTATCAAGCATGAAGAATTGTATGCACAAATACTAAATGTGTTTATCTACCAAAAAGCAGAAGCTTCAATAAAGAAGTCATGTGAAGAGCAGGCATTTTCTTCTACTAAGGAACAATTTTTATCCTGACCTATAAGCTATAAAATCATGTTATTAATCTGGATTTTGTCCCTTATCTTGTGATATGATAGTAGATCATTTTAGGTGCAGCTACCACTTGTGCAGTAAGAGGTCTAAAATCTTAGCCTGTCTCTTGAGATTATATCAGTGTATTGCTCAAAGCATCGTAATGATGATGAATCGATCAAGATGGGGGAAAATTAAAAGCCTTGTTGTGTGCTATCCTATTACCCATTAATGGAGTGAAATATAAAGTTCTTGGGAGTTGTGATATTCAGTGTAGCTGAAGGCTTTATTGTAATTCATATTGGCATAATACATTAAGTTAGAAATAGGGAGGAAAACTGCTGATAAATATGGTATTGTACCAAATAATATATTAAAGGGACACTTTTCGTATTCTGGTATAAAATTGAAAGTGCTATTTTAACATTAAGAGTGATTTATTAGCTGAATTGAGTAATGACTGTCTCATGAGAATGTGATTCTGTGCATGATATTTATTAACTTATGAGACACTTTAATTTTAGTGTTCTGTTTTATATTAGAAACCTCTGGAGAGTCATTTTCAAAGAGCACATACTTAACATTTTATTTGGGCAGAATAAGCTGTAAGTCTAAAATACTCTTTAGCAATATCTAATGATAGCATGAAGATCACAGGTGTGTGTGTGTGTATATGTATTTTTTTCTTTTCTCTCTCTGCTGCACATGCAATGCTTCCCATGAAGTATCTTCAGAAACGAATGTCTCTGGAGTTCTAATTGCTGCTGCTCTGTGAAAGACATATGGTGATGCGGTTTTCTGAAAGGTGCTGTTTCAACTCTCACACACAAAAATAATCTGAAATTGTAATTAAGAAAGTAGCATTTTCATGCAGGGTAGTAGTTCTTTATGTTTGGGAGAACAGGTCAGTGCACACGGATAAGTATGTCGAACACCATAATGAAATGTGGCCAAGTTGTACTTTAAAAATTGAAGATGTGGCATACATTTTGATAATGGAATAATGTAGACTCCCTACCCCAACTATCATCTCTGTTCAAGACCATTAGGATTCAGAATATTAAGAGCAGAGCAACTGGGCGTAACAGCCTACGTTCAACATCTGTTGTACGGGGGTCCATTAGTGTTCAATTGCATCCTATTGTTTTTGGATTATTCAGCCTCCTTTCATTGTCATTGCTTCTGCTAAGGATTAATCAGCTGTTTACAACTAGACCAAGTTGTGGAGTCATAATTAAAACAATTGAGCTATAGTTCTAAATAAATATACAGTATTCAGTCCCTCATGAAAAAAAAATACTAATTTATGAATGCTGGTAACAATTTAATTAAGTTTGAAATCAATATGGATAATAAATTGCCGTGCGGCAGATTTTGTTTTGTTTCTTTTTACCTTTTGTGTATCTTGTAGAATAATCATACAGTATTTCCTTGGACATTTCTGGGGGTAATAGTCTTTACTTCTAGGAGTATAGTGAGAAAAGGGTGTTCGGGTTGTTAAGTGTGAGCCTGGTGCATCTCTGTCATTGCGAAGTGGCAGCAGACATGATCTCTTATTGCCTTGATCTTTTAATGCTCATCTTAAGCTTATTATCACATCTTCATTTATTCTCATTACTTAATCAGGGATATTTCTATATAAAATATATATTTTTAATTTTAGGTAAATATACGCATGTACTCTGTATATAAATATTTTCACAAATAGAGCATTTTAAAATGGCCACTTTTAAGGCTGTATAGGTATATGTTCTTTTGCATAACTCTTCAAATGATTTTATATTATATTATTAGATAGATTTACAGCTATGTTTTTGCTGTTCAAAAATAGTTCAAATTCTCTTCATCACACTGGATCACACTCCATTTTTTTCTCAAGCCACTACTCTCTGCAGTATCATATATATATATTATACCACATTAAAATTGTGAATCCTAATGGATTTCTAATCCTACTGCTTGTTTCAGTATCGTATAGTCTGAAACAGTAGTGTGCTCTGCCTTATAGCACTAAGCTAATTCTCTTCTCTGTCTTTACAATAATTATTTCTTCTACCCAATACTATCTAACTAGAATCTTCAGATTTTTAATATAAAAGTACTATAGTGCACAGAGGGGGAGTTTTTTTCCCTCCGTTGTAACAGATTACCCATTGAAAGGATCTTTTGCTTAACTACGCGAGTCTTGTGGGGCCAGCCAGACACTACTCCAGATGGCAAGTTGTTAGGGTTGGACAGAATGGCTTTGGAAGACTTCTCAACAGATGAAGGCTCTAATGTTCAGTTTTTACTGGTCTTTTTTTTTCTTTCTTTCTTTCTTTCCTCCCCCCTGTCGTTCCCAGGGTGGGAAGGTACTGGGATGGAAGCAAAGCGCCGCCCGCCCACCTGCTACCACCTGTTTTAGCCTCCACAGCTTCTATAAAGCCGCTCCTTGTCCATAGGACGCAGTCATTGCTAGCTGCTGGGAGTCAGGACAGGAGGGAGCCTGCTTTCTCTTGCCACATTATAACTTTGGATTGCAACAGTTTATCTTTTCAAAACACTTCCTCCTAGGCTGAATCAGAGCTTCTTCCATTCTTCCATTTGAAATAGCCATTGGAAATGATGTGTTTTTAATCCATTGACTTTTTTTTTTTTTTTTTTTGGATTCCATGGACCCTTTTTCTTCAGAAATTGGACCCTTTTTCTTCAGAAATTGACATTTTGAGAATGGAAATTTCATTATTTTCTCTCTCTTTGAGGCTAAAGAAACAAAGAGAATGAAAGCATCGGACATTGCAGACTGCTTATTCTTTTATTAAACAATAAGAAGCAATTTTCAGACGATTACAGAGAGCAGAACTTTTTTTTTAGCCTTTTTTTTTTCCCGCAAGACATTATGAAACTGTTCCAATCTGATACCTTGAAAGAAACTTGAGAGGGACGCAGCTATTTATAGAATTGCTTTCCCTATCACTCTTTACATATTTCATTCTTAAGAAGCAATCTGTGTGTGTGCAACCCAAGCTGCATCAAATATGAAAACCTGCAAATCCAGTCATTTGGATTCGGGGTTAGAATCAGACCTCCCATGCAGGAGTGTCGTGAAATGCGGTTCGGAGCGGATGGAGAACGCTGCCAAGAGGAGACTGGCTGCAAACGCCAGGGAGAGAAGACGGATGCAAGGACTAAACACAGCCTTTGACCGCTTGAGAAAGGTAGTGCCGCAGTGGGGCCAAGATAAGAAACTCTCCAAGTATGAGACCCTGCAGATGGCTCTGAGTTATATCATGGCTCTCACGAGAATACTTGCTGAGGCAGAAAGATACAGCACTGAGAGAGAGTGGATTCATCTTCACCGGGAACACTTTCATGCCGAGAGCTACCACCAGTATGTGGGGCAAAAAGTGGCACCAGACACCGATTCTTATGCACAACTTTTCAGCTATCATCCTGAACACTTTCAAATAGCTAATTAGAATTCATTGTAAACTATACATAATCAGCAGGCCAGGGGTGTAATTTAATAATTGGAAAGAATTAATCTGCTTGAATAAGGTAATACTGGCATTATAATATCTCATGCTTGTTTACATCCTTTCATGATTTCACATAATCATGAAAACCTTAAATCAATAGGCATTTAAGGAGGTTAAATGTATTTGTTTTGACTGACAGAAAACACAGACTCTTAATGTTGAATATTTCTGATAATTCTTTCATAGTTGATTTGACTCTTTTGATAAAATAATGCTTTTTTTTTTAATTATGATGAGTCAGGATAGTATTTTACAGATCATGGGCCAGCTTGATCCGTGACATAACTACATGGATACCAGTTTGGCATTTCATTCCGCGTAGTTCTTTATTTTTGTGTCACGTTTATGTGAGCTTTAAGGTTGTGTTTTGTTTTGTTTTCATATTAATGGCTCCCATGGAATAAAGTTTTATAGTGTATTGGAGTTCCAATCCTCAGAGAACCAACTTTCTTAAACTTTGTAAGTTTGACGTATGGGTTCCAGGCAAATTTGCGTAGGTTTGTTTTAATCCAATTTATGGTATCTCTTGTATGCTCAGAACAGAGCTAATCTCAAGTCATGTACAGAGCATTGTTGTTATTTTAGATATCTGTTTAAGCAAGTGTGATTATATGCTGTAAATAAGACTGCTGGTGTGAAAATAGTCTAAGCTTTTAGGGTTTCGTAGACTTTACTGACAACATCTGGGTTTTTCTTCTTGATTTTTATTTTTGTTGTTATCTGGAAACAATAATAGATTTTGTAAATCATAAATAAAGTGTTTTCTGTGAAATCTCGTTACTGAATACAGTAAGTCTCTCCTCTGGGAATAGCTTGTTGGTGGCTTTCCTGCACTGAATGTTATACTACTGCCATTACAGTCTGGGCAATTTTACATGCCCAGAGAAAAAAAAAAAAAGGGAGCAAATGTTGCTTGCTAGTCACTGAGAGTAGGAATACGTTTTGTGTATGCTCCAAAGTGAGAGAAGAGGGTGTTTGGCCCAGACATGAGAAAGCATTTCTGCAAAGCAGGAGGCCAGGTCAACCACGGCGCTACCCCGGGCTTCCGTTTGTTCCTTTTGCTGTGGGAAGAGCCGCGGAGGCCGGGCAGAGCAGGCGGGAGCGGCCGGTGGCCGGCGAGGACAGCTGGGAAGGAGGCAGCTGTGTGTGCGTGTCCGACGGCGCGGGGGCTGCTGCCGGCGCAGGAGCAAGCGGCAGAACGGGAGCCGCCCTCCACAGCAGCTGCCGGCTGGTTTCCAGCAGGGAAGGCCGGCAGCCTCCCCGCTGCCTCCTGCCGTATCTCATATTCTGCTTGCTTAGGAATATCCTTAATAAGAGTTATCTTCAATAGTTAAGCAGCCTTCAATGAAAAAGCAAAAGCCTCAGTAAGAAGTAAGCTCTGGTCTGGGGGAGAGGGGCCCTGCTGCCAGAGGAGTTACATACGAAACCCTGACCTTATTATCCATCTTGTCTCGGAAGCTCTCTGGACATTTTGCCCTCAGCCAGTGTCCTGCAGACTAGTGTGTTTCCTAAGTCAGGAATGGGGCTATTCCTGGGATGAAAGCTGCTGGGCACTCAGGTTGAGGTTGAACTCATGGTTTAGAGGCACAGAGAGTCACGGTATCATGTGAGCGACTTGCTTCTTTAAGCACTGGTATTGTCACCTTTTTAATGTTCCTGTCTCTCTAAATGGGCTTCCTATGATTTTATATTATTACTTTGTTGGCATATGGGGAGGGTCTTCTGTCCCTGTGTGTGTGGATTAAATCTTGGAAGATGGAAGTGCTCCCAGATTTCATTACAGAAGCTTTCATAGAAAGAGCAGAATTACCTTTTGTCCATCGTGTGGTGAAGTTAAGGCTGTTTGTTAAACGTAAAATTTAGTGTGTGTGATATAAAGGATTGCTACGCACCAGATGAGTAAATGATAGTAAGTTCACATAACAAACTAAAAACCTATGGTTATTTTACCAGAAATCACCAAGAATTTAAAGTGAAGGCTTAGGATGGGCTTCAGTGCAGTGGGCAGCTTGTTAACACCTGGTGGAATAGCCCATTGCACCCACCGCTGCTCTTGAACACTATGGTAAGAGGGACTCCCCCATTCTCTTGGGCTGGCTGAGCTAGTGGGGGTTAAATGTTTCTGTTTGACCTAGGTGGAATCAACCTACGGATCCCAATTAGTAGGGCAGCATCAGCAGTGGGCGGCATGGTCTAGTTCTGTTCCGTGGGCAGGGGCTGTGCACAATATGGGATTATCTGTCAGAGCTTCTCTGATCTCACTTTGGCGATGGGAGGAAGCTTAAACATTAACAATGTTTTCTGAAGGCAGCGTGAAGATCAAATACTCCCTACATGAGTTTGGACTTTCACACTGGACTTTTCAAATTCAGTGGCTATTCAGGAAATTATTGGTTTCTTTGCTTGTTTTGCCTTTACAAATATTTTAGTGGTGTTTTGCGAAATGTAGACTCAAGCATTTACCTTGAATGTGGTTGTCACTCTCGAGTATTTGTTCCCCATGGATCCCCACGTTCAATGCTTTTTAGATAATAGCAGTGACCCTGGTTCTGTACTGGATGGGACAGTATGGGCTCTTGAAACCACTTCCCACCAAGTAACTTTTGCTTCTGGTAGGGCTGCAAATCAAGTAAAAGCCTAAAAGCCGAGCTCATTATTTGATCAGGGACGGAGTTTTAATCACTCCAAGATATTTTTTTTTTCCCTCAGTGATGCAGTGCAAATCTGCGGTCCTTATGTCTTTAATATCAGGACAGAGTAATTCTAGAACCACATTATTGTGAAAACACTGAGGATGAGAAATGCTTGTTTCATGGAATATTTATTGCACATGTGCTTCACTGTTCAAATTCAGTATGAAATTCTAATGAGCTTTGTGGAAAATCTACCTTAATTCTTCTAATAGGTTCAGACTATTGATTCTGATAGGTTCAGACTAAGAAACATTCCTGGGTTTCTTCTTGAAGCAGCTGTAGTTCCTGTTTTTTTGTAATTCTTTGAACCCTGTTTCTCAAGGAGATCCGAGTTATTTTGGAACAGAAACCTGGCATCACTTCGTGATTGTCAGTGTCTGAGAAAAGGAATTAGGGTAGCGCAGTTCTAAAATAGGTGGGAGGAAGGAAAAGCCAGTGTTGTCTAGTAATTGAGATAATCAGAAGCTGTGTATTAGCATGTCTTATAACCTGAATTCAATCCTGTTTTTTTAAGGCTTCTATTGTTTTCCTCTTGGAATTTGTGAAGTGTTTAGGGCAAAGTCTGTTTCATGTGGTTGTGGTTTGCCCCTGTACAGGGCAAAGCACAGCTCTTGCCTGGGATTCCTAAATGCTGATATTATATGAAGTATACAAAGTAAAAGTGTTGCTTCCCTTACTTGTAGTCTTTTAAAGTCAATGATGCTGCAACTTCATGGCATGGCTAAGGGTGAGTGTTGTTAGCTTTTTGGGATATTTAGCCAAGTTTTCTATACCTCACTAGGAAGAATTACCCTGGTAAAATCTGTGTGGAATGAATTGCTGTCATATGATTGTACAAATTTAAAAACAGGATTTTCAATCAAATCCCTCATTTTCCAAAATATGCTTCTACTTTAAGATAATGAGTCCACATGTGTCCACACGTCCCCATGCATCCCCACGGGTCCCCACATGTCCCCATGTGTCCTCTTGTGTCCCTACACTTCCCCATACGTCCCAACAAGCCCCCATACGTCCCCACGAGTCCCCAAGCATCACAAGGCATCCCCACGCATCCCCACGTGTCCCCACCCATCCCCACACGTTCCCACGCATCTCCACGTGTCCTCACATGTCCCAACAGGTCCCCACATGTCCCCACCTGTACCCACGTGTCCCCACGCATCTGCACACGTCCACACACGTCTTCACACGTCCCCACGTGCCCCCACATATCCCCACATGCCCCCCCCACATCCCCATGTGTCCACACACATCCCCACATGTCCCCAACGTCCTCACGCATCCCTACGCATCCCCACACGTCCCCACGTGTCCCCACATATCCCCACGCGTCCCCACATATCCCCACGTCCTCACAGATCCCCATGCATCCCTACATTTCTCCACACGTCCTGACACGTCTGCACACGTCCCCACGTGTTCCCACGAGTTCCCATGTCTCCCCACACATCCCCACACGTCCCCACGCGTCCCCACACTTCCCCACAAGTCTTCATTGTACAGAAATTAGCATGCAAAGTGTATCTTAACCTATACAGAAATTGCTTAAAATGCCTTCTTGTATAAGCTGCAAAGAGTAAGGGAGACGTATCTGAACGGCTTCCTGCTCTCTGAGATGCAGAATCAGTTACTTCACAATTCTAGAATCATGGCTTCAGTATTTTTTCCATTTCTTCACAAAACTATATGTCAGATACCTGCTGAAGGAATCTTTGTATTGTGCAGTAAAAGGTTCTTTATTGCTATAGCAGATTTGAAGTCTAAGGGCGTTAATAAAGGAGCTTGATGCTGCTCAGCAGAAGGGGTAAATCATACAGGAGCTGCTCATGCAATAGCTGAGGTAACATAGCTTTAAGAATGTTGTCTTTCACCAGCAGTCACAGAAGTGCATTTAAAAAAATCAAGGCATGTAGGAATCAAAAAACATGGTAACTTGGGCAAGCAAAACCAGTACCAGCAAATGTCATGGGGACACATAATTCCACATAATTCCCCCCGCCCCATTCTCCTCTACATAAGGACTACGACATTCAACTTCCTTCAAGTGTTACTTTTACATCTGCTACTCATTTTAAAAAAAATCACTGTGCAGTCTAATGATGGCCCCACTTACAAGGAATATGCTGAATCATTTAACTGAGAACACATAAGGGGAAGAACAAAATACTGTGTGGTTTGTGTATTTGATTGGCCCTCATTCAATTTTCACTTGTCCAGAATTGGATATGCAGGTGAGGATTGAAAAAGGCAGTCACCAGCAACAGGCCTCAAGTGCCCCTCTGCCAGAGAAAGGTGCCAGTGCTTCGATACAGATCCAGGAAAGGGATGTGCAGGAGCACCTGTGTGTGAGCTGGATAGCAGAGGGGCGGCAGATCCTTGTGAATCTCTGAGTCCCAATGCAGTCCAGCTCCTGTCCCAATGGAGCGCTGCATGCCCAGGTAGGCCTTGGGGATTAATCCTCCAAGATGCTGAGAACTTGGCATATGCACCGCGAATGGGCACGTGGCTCTAAGGAATCCAGGACTCCCTTTGTGGTACCCCAAGGAAACCTGAAACCTTTCAGACTCGGATGGAGGCACTGAGGAGGTCAGAAAAAGAGTTCGTACTTCAGAACTAGAGATAAAATGGCCTTAGGAATTGTCCCCAGTTAAAATACTTAGTGAATTTGCTTTAAAAGCATCCCAAATGGATTTCACACTAGAAGCACAGCTTGTCTGTTTCTGACTTGATAGTATTTTAGGGCTTTCTTCTATGTGATCTAAGGTCTGGTTCTATTGATTTATTCAGTTGTCAAAGCCAAGTGCTGAGGAAACCTCGGGTTTTGCCACGCACTTCCACAGCCGTTTGAAGACATGTCAAGGACACACTCCTGTATGCAACTCGGAAGCATTTATTTAGCTTAGGTGAGATGGAGGGAAAATACATCATCGACCAATCATGTGCTCGTTTTCTTGTGTGGTTGGGGTTCATATTCCTTTCATATGCATATGCCCTCAAGTTACTTTAAAACTGACAAATGGTTTTCTTCCCATTGAGAAGGACTTTGGATCAAAAAAATAAAAAATACTGACTTTAATCAAGAAAAAATTACAAAACAGAATCTTAAGGCTCAGAGTGAAAATCATTATGTTGGAAATAGTAAGGCAATTAACTGTGAATCACTTTTCCAATATTTAACAATTAAAATATTTCCTTATGTCTTAGTAATCACTTTATACAGAATCGTTTTCGAGATGCAATTTGCTACATGGTGCTGCTGAGGTCTGGGCCTGCATCAGGCTGAACCAAACATAAAGCAAAGGTGTAATGTTCCTGCTTTCTAGAATTGCAACACAAAAGTTGTCTTTTTTGCTATTTCTAAAAATAAACAGTACCTCTGTTCTGTCATATGCAAAACTAGGATGAGGAGGCAACAGAAAACCTCCGTATCGGAAAGCATCCAGGTAGTCTCTTTTCCACAAAGTCCTATTTGTGGTAAGAGACCATAAGTACTATTAATTAATGGCATCCACTTACATCCATTCAGGCAGGCTTCTTCTACATATTCATTTTATAGGCTCAGTGTACGCAGAGCAGAAATGTTCTTTAGCAGTTAGCAAGAATCAAAGTTAATAATTACAGATCATTTGGGATCAGATTCTGGTTTTGTCTGTTATCAGATGCACTTCAAGTAATTGCACTTCTGCATTATATGGAGAGGTGTGACAGGCCTTATGCTTTTGCTAGTAAATACAGTGAAGAGGCACTTCCAGCTGCCAAATCTTGGTGACCCACTGTCCCTAGCCTATCTTTTACTAAAACTTCTGGGGCCTCATCTTGAATGACTAAGGCTTCTTATACAATATTTTGGGAGAAGTCTTCCACTGGTAGCTTCTTTTTTTCTCCCCATTTCCAAGGAATTAGCCATAGATTTTTTTTTTAAGACGTTGTACCACTTAGCCATCAGCTTGTCTGGTGATGTTTATAATGATGTAAATCTGGAGACATTCCCCTGAACTCACTGGAAGAGGAGCAAGTGATGCAGTTTGCATGTTTCCTTGATGCACTTCGTGTTGGAATTTGTACTGAGTTCCTTGGGCACGCTGTCTGATGCTGTAAAATGTGAGAACCACTACTGCTGTCAGCAGCACTGATGAGCCCAGTACTAGTAACCAGATATTTACCAATAGTAAACATATTGCTATTCCTGTCTTCTCAACTATGGAAAGAACTCGAGCAACGTGATTACTTCCAGAGCTACTAGTGCGTAGTAAAGCACGAATTAACCGAATCAAAAAAGACAAGTTTGTGCTTCCTTGATTTCTTTAGTTTGTTCACCTCCATCGGATATTTTGGCAAGGAGTGGAAGGTGGAATAATCTGGGGAGTATAGCCTCATTCAGGGAGAAGGAACCTGAGGAGCTCGTCTGCTCTAACCCCCAAAGCAGAGTCGGGCTAGAGGGCTGCCCAGTGGCCTAAGCAGGAAGATAGCTTGACCAAGCCTAGGTGTGAAGCCTGATGACCTGATGACAAGGCTTGGAATATTTAGGATCAAAATCTACGCTTCATTTCTGATATCTTCAGTTATATCGTTAACCTTGAAAAAGTCCAAATAGGATCTAAAAGTGAAGTATCTGGTAATGTGTTTCTTTCATCTCTGTGATTCTGATCAGGGCTTTGTTGTGTTCTCTAACTATGTTTGAAGCAATAAAAAAAATCTGCTTGAAAACAAATTAAAAATAAAAGTGATATCAAGAATTTAAAGATAAAGGAAATTATATATTCACAGATTGAGTGTTGGGAAGTATTCATACAGCTGCACAGATGCTAAATATACTAAAACAGTTACAAAGTGTCATCGCTTAAGGCCCTCTGTTCCATCTCATTAAATGGCCTTATTTACTGCTGTTATTAGTTACAATAGGATTTTTAGCTCTCTGCACGTAACTATAAATAATAGCTTTTTTTTGGTATATATTTTTTTCTGCTTTAATAATAAAGACAGAGTTGCGATCATTTTGCAATCATTTTATAGTTAAATTATTTATTCCAGCAGATTATAATTTCACCTAGTTCAAAAATGAGCTAGATGCACTTTTTCTTTTAGATATGTTAAAAATTAGGAGAAGGGATTGCTCTTTAAAAATCCTGAAGTTACAAATTTGATATCCTTTGTACTTCAAGGCAGAGAATCGCTATCCCTATATTGAAAAATAAGGAGCACATTTGGAAAGTAATAATTTCAGCTATGAGCTCTACAGAATGTGCTTCAGACAACAGGAAGTTTCCTTTCCTACATTAAGAGTCCTATGCACATGCCCTGTGCCTTGCATTATGAATCAATACACCATGAGTACATGGTTCATGGAGTACACACACACAAAAATATAAATATATAGGGTATACAGCTGTACCTACAAGAAATGCTATACTTATCTAGTGTTGAATTCAACAAATCTAAGATTAGCTGACGTAATCATATATAAAAATGAATTCCATCTTTTCCCTTGTGCTTTGTGAATAGCAGGCTTGTTTTTAGAATTACATTCAAAGTCATGTTGTTTTCCCTTATTTTGGATTATTAGTATTTAATGTTAATATTTTCACTGGCAGCATTCCAGCTAAACATGACCAACCCTTAACATGGCTTGCTATAGGTACAGTAGTTTAAATTCAAAAGTAAAAGTGGTATTGGCTTTTAAGTGCTGAAAACTATATCCGTTTACTATGTAATTCTTAGCAAACTACACAGTACTGAATGTATTGCACGACACACTGTACCACAATCATCCTGCAGTAAAATATTATGCAAAAGTCTGGTATACGTTACATGCAACAGTTGCAGCAGCATTGCACTTATTACAAACAAGTTGCTTGTAAACCTTGAGTATCTTGATTTGTACCTCTTTTATGTTTTTCACAGTTCTAGTATATCTGCAGGTATCACCGGAACGACTCTTTTTCAAAGTTCTTCACTTTCCACTACATTTCGAGGCGGGGATGAAAATAGCACTGGGCTTTCAGTAGTGGGGAAGGCAGAAAACACGTCAAGTCCTTGGCCGCTCAGGTTTGCGTAGCGGCCGCTGCCAGCTCGGAGCTTTATCGGCTGCGGAATTTGACGGTGCCACTGAGCTGAAGCAAGAGAAACAGAAACTGATGCAGTTAGCAGTGAAATGGCAAAAATCAATACACACAGCCTCGAAAAGTGGCTTCCAATGTGTGGAGAAAACCAAATATTGTTGTTCCCTGCTTTAGGGACCTATTCCTTCAGATATTCTCATTCACCAGATTTGCATTTGATTCCCGCAGCTTAGGGAAATTTTTAAAACAAGTGATTACAGTTTTGGTTGCCCTCTACTATATGCAGCTAGTAACAAATGATTCATAGTTTTGTTCAACCTACTGAAATGTAACTATATCAATAATTATAGAATGTGAACATATTTACTGATTAAAATTAGCATGCATTATGTTTCCATGTGAACAAATACTCTTATAATATTGTTATAATAGTCAACTATTATGTGATACTTAACAGTTGTCATTGAAACAGCTTAGAAGGGGAAACGTATATTATCTTAGCCTGCATTTATTCGTACAAAACCTCCAGTTCTGCACCCAAACTCGATGGACATATCTGTCAGCAATTAAGATGAAAAAGTAAAAATTCAGACTGCAGTACTCTGAGAATAGCTTAGTGTGGGAGATCTATAATCTGCACATTAAACATGCATAGTAAATCTATATTACCTTTCTATGCTGAATTTACCTCCCACTTTCTGGAAGTATTTGATTGGTTTAGAAAAAGGATTTGTTTTTTCCTTGTAATTGTTGGTACATTCTTATTTCAAGCAATTCTCTGTTTATTGACTGTCCTTTCTTTCTGTGCACTTGGAAATGCAAATATTGAAGCAACCTTTAATCCTCAGCCCCGAAACATTCTAAATAGTACAAATAAAACAGGTTATTGCCCCTCCCCTTGGTGGACAAGACTTACAAATGCTTGAGAAAATATGGCTAGAATTAGGAAACATTTCTTATTTCCCTTTCTTCTCCTCTCTGTAACGTGCATCATTCACGTGACAATTAAATTCATGTCCTTCATACAGAAGGAACTATGGAATTAGTTTACAATTTTTGTGATCTTCTGTGGTTCACTCTCCACATTGCAGCCTATTGTGTGGATCACCACAAGGTGGCAGAAAACTGACAGGGATGTGCTGGTGACTGCTGGTTATTCCTGGGAGTTGTTTCTTTAAAATGAAAATTAGAAGCTTGAATTTATTTTTTTTTAAGGTATGGCTATACAACAATAGTTTGTGGCACATCTTCTCCATTTGGCCACTGTGTTAGGGGAAAGAGCTGGGACCAGGCGAAGAAAATGAAATTGTGATTGATTTGTTTTCTTTGTTAGTCCATACCTACCATATATGTCGAGTCTAGCAGTGCAGGAGACGATACCGGCTTCGTTTTTGGCGGACAAGGTGTACCAGCCAGCATCTGCTTTCCTGGCAGGCTGAATCAGAAGGCAGACGTATCCCGTTGTGTCTTGGTGCATGCTGAAAAAACAAGTGTTTGGGAATTAGTATTTTTCAAGAGATCTGCCTCGCTGAAACCTTGCTCCTCTCAGTTGCGCAAAGGCATTGCATAATAGTGTAAGCTGTGTATTTTGCATTAATACTCAAATTGTTTATTGAATTCCAATGAGCTGGACTTGTGCAAAGATGCTACAGGGCTGTACTGTATTTTTTCCTGCTCCTATCAGAGTAAGGTGAAGAGTAACTTAACAAAATACCCAGCACATCTTTACAAAGTTGTGATGTTCACAATAGTAACAAATGGAAGAAATTAGAGTCACCCAAAACTTCCATGTGGCAATCTTTTCCATCAGAAAATGCTCCACTGGCAATATCTTAAACATTGTTTTGGAAGAGAATCTAGAAGAAACTTGCTTTATTTTTTGCAGACCTTCCTTTGCTCTTGAGTAGTTCAAAGTTTTCTGGATGTAATTTCCAGTGAAAGGTACTAAGGGGTCTCTAGAGCAGCGCCCCCGTCTCTAGGTTGTGCTCCTTTTAATCAACCCAAGTATTTCCCTGCCCAGAAAGGAAGGTGGCAAGGAAGCATGTTGGAATACTCTTGGTTGCAGAAAGCTCAGAGATTATACATTTTGTTTCCTTATGAATGGGAATGAAACCTCAAACCACAGAGGAAAAGCGTGTTTCTGTCGTGTTTTGGGCAGTCCTGCTAAAAATCGGGAGAAAATATTTGCCTTTTGTTACCTGCTTGTAACCTTCACATAATAATCTTTACATAGTAATAATGGGGCATAGTATGGAAGCTCGTGTATAACCATATCATGACATGAGATCATGAGAGTTCCCTTAGCCATTCCTCTGCTGAGCTGAAGCAAATGCTTGTTTGCGAAGGCTTCTGTTGGAAGCGCTGGAAAGGAGACATTCTAGGCAGTTGTGCATTATACATTGACCGCAGTGTTTGCATGTGTATGCTTAGCTCTCCTGTATAAGTACCGGTGCTTGAAATAAATCTGTGGGTAATCTGCACAGAGGCTGAAGAATAAAGACTGCAGGCTATGGAAGAGCAGAGTTGAACCGGCTGTTTGGAAAGGGACAGGGAACCGCGCTGGGGGGTAATATCAAATAAACTTTCCCTCACGATCATTGCGCATGCATAGGGAGCACTGTGATGGAGCCAGTCCTCTGTGCAGATAGTATGCAGGTTATGCATGGGAAAATGTAGCACTTGGGAGCTGACAGTACAGAGCCACTGCCTGTATCGAAGCAATACTGGGAGCCAATTAAAACATTAAAAATCAGATTTATGTAGAAGTAGAAATAAAAAAAAAATCTTGTGAATTACAGCCAACCATATTCTTTCATCACTTTTCTTTTTCCAAACCTAAATAATAGGAATGTATTTGAATAGAAGAACTGAACCTGAGCATTGTCAGCATCATAAGCGTGGATCAAAATCCTTGCCTATGTCTGTGACCAAACTTTGCTCTCAGGGTACGTACATGAAATGCTAAACTCTAAAACCCTGTGTTCCTGAGCATTCAGACCCACATTCTAACTGTTCTGTGCTTGAATTCATCTGTAGCTAGAACTGAACCAAGGGAAAAATGCGTTTAGAGAGAGATGAAGCTGCTAAAATGCATAACCAGTGTCATCTTGGATAACAAGTTGCCTTTGGGCATACAGTCCAAAAGGGCTATTGCAGTCTCAGACAGTGTCTGTACTGTGCTCTGTGCCTTTCTTATAGACCAAGGCCTTGCAGTGAAGCCAATTTCTTAAAGCTTTATGGGAGGAAATAAATAATTCTTAAGAAAAAAGAACACAGCTTGTTATACCGTTCTTCTTGACACAAGTGGCCCGCCCCCAGGACCCTGGGTATGATGGCTCAGTACCTCATCCTTTCTCTGTTTGAGGGGATGGTTTCGTTGTCCTTCTTCCAGTAAAACACAGGGGGTGGCATTCCCACTACCCTGCACTCTAATCTGACAGGGTACCCCTCAGGAACACCGCAGTTCTGGAGTTTCTCCAGGAACATGGGAGCTCTTTTTACTTCCTTTGCTGGAAAAAAAAAGAATGAAAAAAATAGAGAACTTTTTTTTTAAAGTCTTTTCTTTATATTGAATGATATAAAAGCACACACAAAAAAAGGTAATATTAATGATATCATAACAAGCTGTGAATTTTTTTAATGGGATACGGGAACACAGGTGAGAAGCTACAGAACAGCCTCCCAAAGCATGGAGAAAATAATACATGCACCTGATATTTATGAAAGAAAAGATGTGTATATATTGAGTCTAAACTTGCTGCCATTGCACACAACTAGTGCCAGATATAGTCCAGATCTTGTAAAGCTTTCTCTAAAAGAATGACTTTTTTTTTTTTAACTGAAGAATGAAAACCATTTTAAATCATTTCACTCCATCAGATGTTTCATGGCTGTTGAACTCTGCTGCGCTCAGTGGACTAGCTATTTATTTAAACTTGTCTGTAGGGAAGTTAAGCACTGTACTTTCAAGGAAATCTATACAAAAAATCACAGCACTACGAGTAGTTTTTCAGTGATTCTTACCTACAACAGTGAGTTCCAGCGTAAATGAATTTTGTCCTGTTTTATTAGTGGCAAGGCAAGTGTAAGTTCCAGCATCGTTTTGTGTGAGAGGATCAATAAGCAGCGAGTGAACCCCTGTCTCTCTGACGAGCATCTTGTGCGTGGTGTCTGGTAACACAGGTTTGCCGTTGAGGAGCCACATCAGGTCTGGCGTGGGTAACCCGCTCACCTGAGAGACACAGAAGCAGTGAGAGGCAGGTGGCGAGCTGGCACAGGCACAGGCTTGAGAGAAATAAATGCATGAAAACGCCTGCATTTCTTCTTATCAGTAAAGGAAGAAAGAAACTTGGTTATATAATCAGATTCAGACACACACAGAAAAACTGCTAATAATCAGCTGGTTTTTACTTTTTTAGTGAGGAGTATAAATCAAAGTCCTGAATTTAAACCACTATGTTATTTAACAGAGATATAAACAATAGAGCTCTATACAAATGAGTTCTTATTTCAGAAAACTTAATGAAGAACGATACAGGTTTTTGTACTTCTTAATCTAAGGTGTTATAGAACACGACAGATTAATAAAAGCATTTTACAGAAAGATTACTGGATTCCTGAGGATGTTTCTAAGAGACGGAAGTGCTTACACATGGTGAAAATCTTCCTCTCTATACAATATTCTGCAAACCAGAGAAAGAGAGAAGTGGAGCTTGCCCGAATGGGAATTGCTTTCTTCCAGGTTTGTGCAATACCAGACATACTTGAAGGTTTCACAAACTCTGCCAGGAGAGCAGAGCTAAGAATAACCAAATTCTCTGGCATGCTCCCTCATAAGCTTAATTTGTAAATATAGCAGTAATGAATCTTACTCGTCTTCACAGAAGCATTAACTTCTACTCCAGGGCTTCAGCCTCCTTCGAGATAGCAGATATTTTGGGGCATGAGAAAGCTCAGTGTCAGCATCTCCACCTTTCAGACTCTGCTATTGGAACATGGAGAAACTGCCAAAATATGATGGAGCAGCTGAGTTTCTCAAAGCTATTTGATAATGGAGGGCCCGCTGTACATACACCAATTTCTGACAGCTCTGTCCTGTGGGGATTTGAATACAGAAGCTGAAGTGTCTCCTTGTCTGTGCATTCTGGGGAGCCATGCGATGAACTAGGCTCTGCTCCCTCTTTTTGCAGAGTGGGAACATTCATTTGAACATAATAGAGCATGCCGAATCTTCCCTTTTTGTGATTTTATGCGATTCTGGACTGTGTTCTGTCTAGCAACAGAAGGACCTGTCATTCCCAGATGAGCTTCTGGAGTTTGAACTGGTAAAGGATAGGGTGGACATCACCAGTAATTTGAACAACCCTGTAAGTGAGCCTTCTATTTTGGGGGTTGTGTTTTCTGTGTTCTTCATTCCATGCAGCATATGTTGAAGAGAAATCCCCTGAATCAGCTCAGAGAGAATGGCAATAAGCAATAAATAAAAGATGAAGCATTAACACTGTAAAAGAAAACATGGACTCAAGCAATAAAGAACATGAAAGCACCTGCCAATATGCATAGAGAGGCAGGGAGATGAGAATGAACAGAGGGAACAGTTAATACCTTGCAGTCCAGCCTACAAAGCCGCCCTTCGTGTGCTACCATGTCACCCGGAGCCTGTAGAAAATAGGGCCTGAAAAAGCGTTCTTGAACTCCTTCTTTGTCTCCTTCTGGCACCCGGGACCGTGTTCTGCAACACAAAAGCTACATGTACATGTTTGGAAGCCAAGCTATTTTTTTTTATAATGCTGAATGAAAAAATGCAGAAGAAGATGAGAAGATAACCTGAGTTAGAGTCCAGAAAGAAATGCACTGATTGTAATTTAATACTTACATATTTTTTCATTTAGAAAGATTATCAAATGAACGATATCATGTGGTGTCATTGGATTCCCATGTTCTCCTTTGTTTCTTTGGCCAAGTTTCTTTTTTTGCTAATCCAACCCTGTATTCTAACTCCACTGCAGCCAGCAAGTGGAATAATGCTTTACCTTTCCTGGTGTTTAACGATAACCTTCCAAAGCATTGCGTTCTAGAAGGGGCTTGATGAGAGGGAACTGCTGCTGTTTTTCCCATTTTACACTTGAGAACTGAAGTATGGGGCATATTGAAGTGTAGGAGCTAGTTTTGAATGCCTTGATTAAGAAGCATGAGGAGGGCGTGAAGGGCTTGTCTTTCCTTTTACCTGTGGGACTGAATTGTTGATATTCGGCTCCGAATTGGAATTGTCTGGACCATCAGGTGACCTGAACAACTGATTCTGCCCTGCAAACCAGGATAGAAATGGAGTATTTTGTCAGTTAATAGCTCATTTCAAAGTACAGGCATTTCATCTTTACAGTGCATTAAGATTTATTTGTATATAGTGTATGAACTACAGAGTTGTTAATAACTTCTAAAGGCACTTGCTTCTAGCATGTTCCTTCTAGCTGAGGAGGAGTTGGTGTTTTTTCTCTCTAGATCAGTGTATTTCTCAGACTCTAGGGCTCTGGCAATGTAGTTAGCAACAATGCTCAATTAGCCAGCCCAGACACTATCCCTGGTTATTCCTGTCGCTCCTGCTGCTGTCTCCAACTGCTGTGTACTAGCTCAGTTGCTAGTACAGCCACACCGAAGCTGGGAAAAGTTAGGTTGAAATATAGCTCAGAAAAACAGGTAGTTTTTCATCTGGAAAATGTTCCCTGATCTATCTGACTTTCCTGCTAAATAAACAGCTGAGCTAGCACATGGGGTTGAGGAGAGTGGTTTTATGGGACAAGACTTAAGTGCAGATCTCTGTCATTATAGCCTAGGTAATGAATAATTTTGCTCCATAACTTTCCAAGTTTGATGTACCTGTTCGTTTTCCTTGCTCTCTGTCTCAGGAGAGCCCAGCTGTAAACCGGCATGCCCATTTGTTGGAATTTTTGAAAAGTTTGTGTGGACACTTAGCACAGGCTCCAGGGGCCTGCCTCAGTGAAGGAATAACAGAGGAATAACTGTCTAGTCACCATGATGGGAGTGGATGAGAGCTCTACATCTACAGTTAGTGCAGTTTGAGATTTACACTTAGGGCTCAGTTTGGGCTGTTCCTTTGGGCCTTACCCCAAAGCTAGGTAGTTGGAAGCTGAGTAAATGCCCAGTCCCTGGTTCTGACTCTTATACTTCCTTTGGGTTACAGCTCTTTTGATAAACCCCCTGGAGCAGTGTTTTTGGTTTTTTTTCCTCCAAAAGGAGTTCAGTTTGTACACAGCAGAACCTTTCTGTGAATCAGAAGATGTGTAACTGCCTTATTATGTGTTTGGATATGCTGGAATTTGGATACTGTCACCACTGAAAGTCAGACTAGGTAGCCTGATCTGCAGCCTAACGTATCTTAGACACGCTGAAGCTGAAATAAGCATTTTTGTAAAGGAAAATAAAACACCTTACTTGTGGGTTTGCAGCCATAATTGTATAGTTGCCATCATCATCATTAGCTGTAGTTCCGATATGTAAAGAACATGTCCCATCTCCTTCTCTGCTCATTTTGAAATGTGCATTTTTCTTTGAAATCTGCTTGCCATCCTTGAACCAGTATACCTGTATTGATCAGAAAATCCTTCAGTGGTTTACACTTGCTCTGTAGTGGAATAGTCGCCAGGAAACATGTAGATAAGAACATGGCATACGTTGAACAACAGCAAGTATAAATTTTAGAATATTATAATGTGTTCAGATCAGTTAAAATGTGAAATAGAATTGTTGCAGGTTAAATTTAGAAGCCTACACGCGTATCTTTTACATAGCTAAAATCGTCAGGCTCTATTTTCTTGGCTACAGAAGTTTTGCTGCTTAAATCAACTCTCATACTTCTGAAAAGTCAAATGAGATGTTTCTATAAAATTCTGCTTTTCTTGGAGGCGGGTGGTTTTGAGAGAGTTGCAGGCAGCCCGTTAGGCCCGATACATGCTGAGGAGAAGATATTGCAATTTTAGCAGGTTGGGGAGAATATTTTGTTTGAGAGCTCTCTCTGCAGCACCATATACTTAGGAGTGAGACTCTCCAGGCAAGGTGTATAGGAAGGAGTGGGTAACTGATTTTTATTCCTCTATAGCCAAGAGTGAGAATCACCTACCTTGGGCACAGGTATTCCAACTATTTTGCAAGTGAATGTAATAGGAGACCCTTCCATGACACGAAAATGCTTGAGTCTCTTATCAAAAATTGGAGCTATGCATTTGCCTGTAGGGATTTCATCGTGTTGGACTTCGTCGTCTGACTCATCCACTGGGGTTCGTTCGAGGCGAAATTCTATCTCATTCATGAGCCTCTGCTCAAAGCTTGAAATCTTATATTCCTGCAGAATGAGAGAGGGGACGAGAGAGGTGATGTTCTGACCAAGGGTAGTCGTGTTCAGCTGTATTTCCAGGTATTCGCACTTTTAGGTTATTTTTAAAACAAGTGAAAATAAAAACACCTATGTGAACCATGGCTTATGGAAGAAGTCTGAATTTGGTCTACAAACATAGATTCTCACTGCATCTTCAATTTGTAGGATTCAGCTACGGAGTATTTTCAGTGGCAGCTAAAGAAATAAACATGTAGTTCCTCTAGGACCCAAAGAAAAATCTCTACTGATGCACACTCTTGATCAAAACAGATTCCTAAAATATACCTTGTTTTTCAAGGATTTGCGTTCAAACATTGTTCAAACCTGCTCCTTATAAAAACCAATACTGTTACGTATTTCAATACAGAATCAAACAAGGAAAAGAAAAAGCTAGTAAAAAAGCAAAATCTTTTCAGGTTAACTTAACTTGAGGCTAACGCAGATTTTTACTAGTGTAAATGAGAAAGCAAAATATGTCACATTTTAAATCCTTAGGAGAATGAACACACGATAAAAGAACAGTAATATATGCTGTGTAAATGACTAATTCTGGCCTGCTTGCTGTCAGTATAAGCCTCCTTCACAATCCCTGAAGTCAATTAAAAGCCTCTTGTTGCTTAGCTGAGTCTCCCGTCAGCAGCAGGAGGATGGTAGCCGGAGCTACCTAGCTACATTAACTTAGCAACCTGCAGGAATATCTTGCTTAAATCGTTATAAAATAACTTGTGGGGAAGCTTGGATCACATATAGGCCTTTACCAATAACCAAATTAGTTCGTCCGGACCTGGGTTTGTGCAGAGTTTGTAAATCCAGTGATTGCGATCCCGCTTCTGTTGTGGGATATACGAGTCTGAGCACTGACCTCCCTGACAACAGGTCTGTTTTTTTCTGTTTCTGTGGCAGTCCTCAGCATCTCACTTGAATTGTCTGGATAGTGACACCATGATGGGAATTATCCTGGTAGAATAGATGATCTAGTATTATCTCTCCTTGGCACTGTGATGGTAGATGTTGTATGACACTCCCTTCATCTAAACTCTGCTTATTTCAGGATTGCTGTACAGTGTGTTCTAGTAAGGATTAGCTATGAAAGAAAGAGGCAGATGGTTCCAGATGGGGTAGAACAGAGCACAGCACACGAGCTCCCTGTGCTGGGAGCAGGAGTCTTCCTCCACTCTTCCCTATTTCTGTGATGCTGCAGGGCAGTTTCCTCAGCACGGCCCCCGTGACGGTGGGGTAACAAGCAAGCGTTCACAGCGAGCTCAGGCAGGTGGGTCTCCACTTCAAGACGCCTTCCATTCCCTTCCTTTCTCCCTCCGCTCTGTTCCGCTCTCCTCAGACGGGCCCCGACGAGGGCAGCTCTGCCGCTAGGTGGTAGCGTCCCCTTTCTCGGCCACCTTTGTGTGCTGGGGCTGCCCAGCAGCTGGTGAGCCGCAAACAGCCTTACAGAGTTTCATCCCGTTCAACTTCTTTTTCTTTCACACAACATGTGTCAGCAAATCACTTTATATAAATGGACAAACTCAAATCTCAGTTATGCCAGTGTGAAACTGGAGACACGCTGATTTCTGACCAACCAAAGCTATCGTTTTTCGCTTTAGACTCAGAGTGCTAGTTAGTTACAGAGTTATAAAAGAAAGTTAAGCTCTCAAACTTTTTCCTCTGATACTGGGAAAAGACTTCGTGTTTTAGGAAAATAAGATTCAAGTAAAACTCAGGGAGTTACTACTCTGCTTTAAGAATCAGCCACATCACCAAAATGTACTGTGGTCAACTGTCATTTGTAGATTTTCCCACAAATCAAGGAGTTTAAACCTAAATACTTTGGTGCAAGAAGTGAACTGAAAAACTTTTGTACTTCAACTTTGGTATTTCTTCCATTTCTTTGAGAGCTTTTAATAGATTCTCTCATGTTGTTCACATAGCTCTTGACAGCAGAACGCTTTAGCAAAAAAATTGTACCTACTGAAGAAGGATTGTCGTGAGGCTCTGAAATTTCCAGTAAGACCTGTAAATGCTATAAATAGTTCTTCCAAGGATGGATTTGTTTTCAGTGGTTTCACATGCTGTGTGGCCTTTGGAAATGTGGAGGCTAATTAAGGATTAATTAAGTTAGAAGCCATCTCTTT